GAGGGGCTGGGGTTAGCAGTGACAGCAGCAAAAAACTCAAGGTTTTCTTCATAAATTTAAAGACTATTATAGTTAGTTGCACACAATTTTTCAATTGATGAAAATGACAAAAAAAACGACAGGGTTGTATTAATGGGACTAAATGCTGCAAAACAATACCAAACTTATGTTTATTGGATAAACGGTTCTCTAGATATGACGGTTTTAGTGTAAAAATTGCGGGGACAACTAAGCCTATGGAGAATGAAACCAAAAGTTGGTCACGTCGAGAGTACGAAAAAAGCGAATGGGAAAATCTTCTAATAAAAGGCATAATTATAATTTCTCAAAATTATTACATTATCGCAGTTTAACTTTGCGCGCGTCTAGTCTAGAGCGAAGAGAGTAGGTTACGTAAGACTAAATAAATTGTAATAAAATGTTTTTAAACAATCTAGTTTATTAGCTTTAAATATATTTACGCTTAAGGAAATACCAAAGCTAGATTAAACTGTCAATGAAAGCTTAATAATAAAAAAAGCTTAAAATTAAGTAGGTTTACCGTTTAACACTAGGCTAATTAATTACTAGATCTAGATATCTAGATTTAAATGTAAATAGACTCTACTCTACTAGTTAACTAGTACCTAGATCTAGTACTAAATAGCTAGACTCTACCCTAGAATCTAGACCTAGACTCAATCCCCATCGCCATCATATCTCTAAACTCTAAAGTTTAACTAGATCTAGATCTAAGTCTAGAATCTAGATTTAAATGAAATTCACGATTATTGAATTTTTTACGGACACATGCATGGTGCATTAAAATTAAATTAATTTAAAACAACAAAGATCTAGCTCTACTCCAAAATTCAACCCTGATTGTTCATGATCTACGACGGGCGCGTTCTAGATTCTAGATCTATTGAGAGACATTTTTAAAAAAAATATGCATCATGACAAAACTTGGTTCATTAAAAATAGGCCTAAACAAGTAAACATGGATATTATTATTAATGGTTTAAATCATGGCACAATAAAGAGTAGTTTAAACTATTTATTATAGCATACATGGAAACTTATGCCTACATTAAAAAATTGAATAAAACAAATTCATAAACAGAGTGTGTCTGTTTTTTTTTATTTTATTTAATATATAGGAAAGTCCCAAAGTTTACAAGCTTTTAATTTTAGGAGTAATGTGTGAATAGAAGCAATAATCTGGCTAGGTTTGTGTACAGTGTAGGATGTGTAGTCTCAAAGTCAAATGAATAAGCTAAAGGCTGATTATTTATGAATATATTAATACATGCATCTGATTTGCAGGAATAATAAGATATATCATAACTACATATCTGATCAGTCCTGCTAATCAGATGCATATATTATTATTAGATATATATTTATGATATTGACAAACATGAACTTAGAATTTTATTTTGTTGAACAAGGAGCAGTCACAAAAATGTATATATAAATTCTTGTGTTTTATAAAGAGACTAACTTTGTGCATTGCATTTATTAAAAATTGTACAATATAACTTCTAAAGGAACATTGCAATGGATATAGCTTTAGTTTATTAAACATTGTACAATATAACTTCTAAAGGAACTTGTAAATTAAAACTCAAACAACAGATGCTTACTGATCATATCAGTTATTAAAGTAGCTACATTGAGTTCTGAGTCTTCACTATTTTCCTCATCAATTGACCAATAACTTTCAATAAGCAATTACAAATCTATCAAGTTTTGTCTCACTAGCTGTGAGTCTTAAGACTATTCTACCAAAAAACAAGGTGTCATTGTCATTTATAAATTCCCACTTGTGTTTTAACATTTGGCCAGTCATATCTTCTCCACTGATAATTTTAGCTAACACTTGTTTTTGTCTGGTCTCCACATTGCAGAATATTTCATCATTAATAAATAACTGACCTTTTGCCAACTTATCAACATCTATCTTTAACTTCTTTCTTTCTTTATTTTCTTTCTTGATTCTTCTCTTCTTTGTATGATTTCACTTTCAATTTCTGGCTGTTGGGTTTTGTGTGATCTTTGCCTGCGAGCACCTTCAGTTATAGCAAAATCAATTAGCTGATTTTGTTCATTGATACTTTTTGCATCAAGCCACTCCATTGTTTTATTTAAGCTTTAACCTTTTCTCACAGATAGTGGTGTTGCCTGTGTGTTTATTCCTACATAGGGTTCATTGAAATAACTAACCAACTGTTGCCAATTTCTTTCAGGGTTTGATTTTAAGAGCATGAATTTTTTTATGATTCTGTTTACAGAGTTTCTGTTAGCAAAATAATTTTTTGTTGTTTTTATATGTCTGTTTCTATCTAATAGCTCATCAAGTACCTTGGAGATATTTTTATTTTTTATATAGTACAAATAAACTACATTGCCTATTCGCACTTCACCACTTACATCAGAATACCTTTGATAGAGATTTACTACATTCAAGGCATTCTTCTTCCCCATTCTGTCTTGCCTATAAATAATAAAATCATAAGTAGTTAATTATAGTTATACTATTTAATTTTTGACAATGGATAGCTAATAAAAAATTAATAGTTCTGCTTATAATATATTTTATTATTAAAAAAAAAAATACACTGACCTTTTGAAGAAGGGCATCGATACCACTAATTAAAAGAGTGACTGGTTTTTGTGTTTTTGTAACGTCCGCAAAAAATATGTTACTACTAATATATCAAGTTATAGGCTTAATAAAGTTAATTAAGATTTAATAATATTAAATATATTAATATATTTATTACAGTTATTAGTTAAACAAAAATTAGTGTGTTTGTGAGTGCTTAAAAAGAACAACTGAGTAATAATAAGCTAGTAAGTCGAAAACGATATGCCTATTTTAAAATATATAGTATATTTAATAGGCCTACTTAATATGGTGTTTTATTAACAAGAACCTTACAATTTAAACAATAATTGAATCCCTTATTTTAATTTTATCAATATTAATCATGTATAAAGCCTTTAGAGCTAATTAATTATCTAGGAAGTTCGGGGCTTAAAAACTAGATTTAAGGCTGAACGTAGATGCGTGTTAAGCGGTATCGATATTACTAGTATTGGTCTACTTTGTGAGACCATTTTCAATATTTTCTACATTGTTAATTATTAACAAAAATAAGTCTACTAGTGCATTTAATTAAATAGATAAATATATTACACTCAATCTATGTTTAGTTTAAGTGTGTATCTTTTTACAGTATTTTATTTAAATAGCTCGATTCCCAGTTCGATCATGATTACAGCGAATTAGTTACAACTAGAGCGGGCCTTCAAAACGTTACATATTTGTATAAATGTGTTTTGTATTAACATTTAACACAAGATAATTACGTTAGCAACATTTAAACTCCAATTTTGTAAGTATTCTTTTTTTTTAAAAGCGTCAATGTCATAAAATTTATTATATTTTACAATCAATCAATCGGCGCGGAAAGGGGTTTAAAAAGTATCGATACCGTTTAAATAGTGTCATTCGGAGGATTGCTTTGTGAGACGAAGTTCGTAGTCTGCTAAAGCGTAAAATATTACAAAAAATTAGACTTAAGCAGAAAAATGGATTATTAAAATAATCCTAACAAATACAGAGCTAATCCGAGTGTTAAAATATTTTAATACAATTTTTGAAAACTTACCTTTTTAAGTGGCTTTTGTTTTGACATATAGAAAAGGGGTCTTGAAGAAAAAATTAATCTGCCGTAAGCGGCCGCATCAAGTCGTTCCGACTAAAGTTAAAACGGGTTACGGAATCACGTGATATCTATTTTAAAGCCGTTTGATGCGCTATGTGTCGACGGCTTTAGACGTAATTATTTTCTTTGTAAACGAAAGGTTTTGAGACTGTGACGTCATATTCTCTTGGTTTGTGCAACTAACTAGACTATTAGATTTAGGTCCTGATCGATCATGTAACCACATCATAGTAAGCATACATCAGTATTTTGTATCAAAAGCTAAGAAGTAGATAGAGTGTTTTTATTTTTATTTTTTTAGTAAAAAAAAATCAAAATAGCCTGACGGTCAGCACAAACAAAAGTTTCCCGGCTTAAGTAAGTAGCCATGCTGCAGACTAACTATTACACATCAATATTGACACAGGCTAGTAACTGAGTGAACAGCATTCTTCTGTTAAACCAGCGAAACAGTTATAAAGCAGGATGGGATCATTTTAATATAGGGTAGCGAACTAAAAAATTGAATTGATTGTCTGAAAAGATTTCCGTTGTTCCGTTAGTCAGAAAAATATTGTTTTTTCAGCAGATTTTGTTTGGAGGAAACTTTTTTTAAAATGGAAATTGTGGATTTCCGGAAATACTAGAACTGTGTTATTTAGATATAAAACAAAGTAGACATTGTATTTCTTGGATCTTAAATGTTGGAGGGGGGGGGGGGGGAAAGGGACACTGAAGATTACAAAATTTGGGGGAAGGGGGGGGGGGGGACCAGAGAAAACTAAAGCTTTATGGGTTTTTTTTTTGTATGAAAGCCTTGAGAATATGTTAATCAACCTCAGTAATAGTGAGTTAGAGCACCTTAACGACTACCCAGGTGTCAGTGGCATCATTAGGCGCTCTCGGGAGCCACAAACTACACTACCTGATTTATTTAGTCATTTAATGTAGTGGTCCACACTGACCTATTGTAGGGTGCTCATTAAAATCAATGTAGGTGAGATAGTGCTCAGGGTGCTCCAGGTCACCAGCCAGCGGACAAGTCTGCTTTAATTTAGTCTACTATATAAGCCCATTGTATACATATATATGTGAATAGTAAATACTGGTGGATACATATTGTCTTCTTTTCTACATATTGGAATTATCTAAATATAAGAAGTTTCTTAAACTTTTTATCAATTTGTCCCTATATATCAATGGTATAAAAACATGTAGATATAAAGTGATACAAAGATTCAAGTTACAAATTAATCCAATTTGATTATTAATTTAGTTTTTTGATAAGGTTACATAAAAAAAACTCACCCTATCAAGTTCTAATGGATCATTTGCTAGCCAAAGCCAGGTCAATTGCACATGAATCATGCCTTGTTTGACATCCTCCAAGGGTAGCCACTGTATAAATAGTGTTAATACAAAAATCAAATTTACATATTTCAGAGCAATTTTCTCCAGTGAAGTTATAAGATATGCCATTATCAGTTTCAGCCCCCCAAAATGCCACCGTATTGTTTTCATTCTATTTTTAATAATAAATAAATATTTATAAAAAAACAAATGTTGTATAGGAACAATTAAGAAGAATGTAAAGAAATAATCTGGCTTTATAAAAATCTATTATTATCTTTGGAAATCAGCCAAGTTGAGTTGAAGGAAGATGCTGGAGGAGGTATAGGGTTTGGAAGATGCTAGCGGAGGAGTTTTTCTTCGTTTATTTACTCACTACACTGTTAATGCTCAATCACTTTAATTCACTTACACGTTATGCTCTTAATATTACAATTCATCCCTACACTTAATTAAAATTAACTACAATTCACTCAAAATAGTTGAAATTTAAAAAAACCCTGATATGTAATGTCGCACTGACATTTATTTCATTACTTTTTGAAACATTTGATTATTTTCAATATCCAGTCCTTCAGTGGACTATTTATCTTTGTAACAAACATGAAACAAAAGTTAACATTTAAAGGATTATGGATAAAAGCTTATTTAAAAATTAGTTGAAAATGAGTTATTCTGGAACACACACAACCACTATGTTTCATAGTGCCACTGACAGAAGTCACACTTTGTCTTCCTTTAGGTAATAAATTCAAATTCTATTTTTTTTAATAGGTCTGAACTATAAAAAGACTTACAACATACCCAGGTATTAAAGGTTTAGCACTCCCTATATTGAGTTAAATAAGGTGTGTTGTTGGCCAACTGATAAATAGCAAATATTTTGCTAGCCTCAATGTCTTTTTTATTTAATAATATGATCTGCACCACAATGGCTAAAACTTCTCACTTTGTTACATGCAGTGGTGACCTACTTTAATTTATCAAGAGAGACATTACAAATCTAAAACCCTAATTCAAAAATATAATCCACCACCCCTTTTAGATTAACGTAGATGACAAAATAGAAATATCATTGACGTTCTGTAGTTCATGTCGTGGAATTTCAGAAATGTGTTTTTCTACTAAGAAATTATTTAATGTTTGTAGTTGGCTCATAGCGTATTTGAGATTATTAGTGACGTCATTGGCTATTAATTTCTTAACAAACACAAAAAATATTGGCATTAGCAAATTTTAGAGTTTTTAATAACTTGCAAAGTTAATAGTTGCTCAACAAGTAAACCTTAATAAGCGAGAGATAAATATATACAATAAGACTGCATTCACTTGCAATCCAAGTCATTTAACAGATCTACATTTTATGCAGATCTAGATCCATCCTGCAAGGAAACAGTTAATAAAAGCCTAGAAAGTTTCAAGAGTCACCTCAAGATGATCTGTGTTTTGTCAGGTAAAGAACGGCACGTAATAGTTGAATACTCATTTGCAATTTTTTGCTTAGTCCCTCAAAATGGTAGCCTGCTAAAAATTATCCGACATATTGTTTGTAACAATGTGTTACAAAAAGAGTCAAAGTTAAAGTATAAAATTACATAACAGGACAGCCATCTCAGGAAAAGCATGGTTCATGTATGTAATTAAACTGTCAGTCAAGTCACTACTAGTGGGATTGTGCCTATAACTGGGCCCCACCCGCTCTCTATGCCACTGCCTGAACATTATGGAAGCACTAGGGGCCTATTAAGGATTTTTTTTCTACAGCAGAAAAGAAACTGGATTTTATCATTTAAAAAAAAATATTTTTATAAAACAAATATTAAATTTTCAATGCAAAATTTTACATTTTTCTAAATAGGAAAAAGGGCCTCTTTGTTCCTTGGTCCCTGTGCCTTGCTTATGCCTATGCATGTTTACTGTAGCTATGCCCCTGCTGTGTGGCCTAGCAGTAGACTGTTGGGCTGTTAAACAAAAAATATTGAGTTCGAAAATCCAGGTTCATGTCAGTAGAATGTCCATGAGGCCACCCAGCTCTGATCAGGTACCTAATTGAAGTTAGGGAAATGAGGGGGCTGGGAATAGTTCTGACCACATTTTCCATTTAAATGCGGAGGTCACAGAAACAGGTTTTTTGTCACATATAAATAAGTTTTCAAATCATTATTTTTGGAAAAAAAAAGACAAAATGGATCAGCACAAAAAAGTTCTAATTTTTTTGGAAATAACCTTTCTGTGGAAAAAATATTGTTTTTCATGGAAACAAACAAAACAATTTGTGGTGAAAATGTATTTCCAATTAAAAACTGATAAGTTAAATCTCTGCTATAATGTATACTTAAATTATAAAGTAAGGTAATAATAATGTGTAACCTCATCTTCAAATCCTTTATCTTGAAGTTTAGACAAATCAAAGCTGACTCTGAAAAAAAAAATTTTTGCTCTAATAATTGATTACTGGTTACCTGTAACGTCAGAACATGATTACATATAATCTCACATTCCCTAAAACATCTTTTGTAATGTACTTAGAGTTTTCACTTTGCATAACCAACAGCCTGAGGTTAGTGAACTATGTTTATTACATTAGCATTTTTTTTTAAAAAGAAGCTTTTGTGAGGAGCCTTATTGGTAGGACCTTTTTATCTCAGGCTTTAATAGGGGACTTTTTTGTGAACTACTGGTGAACTACTCTTCTGAATAGAATAATTTAATTTTGTAGATTTGAAGAGGCTGTTTTATCACACATCTTGAATTTTGCCTGCATTGCTCCTTTCCCTAAACATCTTCCCCATGACTAAATCCATAATCATTTAAAATTAGTGGTGTTTAATAAAGAAAATTAAAATGGAATGAAAGATTTAGCTTACTATAAGTCCACACAGATTAATTAATTTTTGTAACACATATGTAGTGGCCCAAACAAATTTTTTGCAGTGGGAGAGGAAGGCTTTTTTGTCCCACTAATGAATCAAATAAGAACAGTTCTCCCCCCATTGAATCAAATATGAATAGTTGAATATTATCTTACAATATTTGGCCTAGGTGGTTATCTATTCACCATACATGATATAAAACTTACCTGCCCAATTCATCATCGGTTTTACCAGGATCTTCATCAAAAACTTCTAAATACAGTAGCTGACCATCTGCTGAGTCCACAGTCATCTCAAATGATTCATTCCACACAGGAGCTACAGAATTGCCAATCACTTTTGTTTTCATTTCCTTTGGACCAACTGAAATAATTGTAGGGAAATGAAATCTACAAAGAAGCTGACAAAATAATTACCTCTAACCAAAATGTTAAAAAAAATATGAATCCAATCAAAAGCTCAGCTACTTAAATGTGCAACTGAAAAGTTCAAAGCCCATCTTCAATCCTAAGCATATACTCCATCAAATGTGAAAGACAAAAGCAGATAAACTATTTCATCTGCCCCAGTTAATGTAAATTTTGCTTCATTTTTTTATTTTTATTTTTGGAAAGATAGCTATTAAGTTTTCATGCAAGCCTAATGTGTAGCATATCAATAGAATTTTATCTGTTCTAAAATTCAAGAATCAATTAGATTATTATATTTCAAGACGAAACAGGAAAATCCACAGATGTCCACTTTTTGAGTTAGCGCCCTATTTGTTTAGTACTAATGCATACTAATGAACAGTACTAATCACATATAAGAATAGGAAAGTGTAAAACAGTCTCAATCCCTTTATTATTGAGGATTTTAAAATTATTCCACAATTTTTTTTAAATGGATCTCAAACACATTTTTCTCCAAAGTAGAAAACTTTAACAACTGTGGTTTCCTGTGGTCTTCATTTGGTTTCAATCATTTTCTGATCGCATAACCTAAATTTCCTCAGTAACACCTAGGGTTACCGTTATGATGTGTTTTTTTAGGGCATTTTAATGCAAATGAATCTTTGTGAGAATGCACGAAAGATAGTGGAGTTTTATGTAGAAATTGTGTTTCTGTTGCCTAAAAGTTAGATCTAGGCTTTTGATGTGAGAGGGAGTTTCATCTCTGTAGTCTTGTATAAGGAAGTCTAACCTAGGTAGTTTATTTCAGAGACTGAGTCTGTGTAAGTATTGTAAGAAAGAGACTGCCTTGTCTGGGTGTCTGATACAAAACTCGGAAAGAAAGAAATATTGTGAATATGACTCACCACATGTGTACAATTATGAGTAAATAAAATTCAGATCAAATACCCAAATCCTGTCAAGTAATTGTCCATATGAAACGACAGCTGGTTAAATCAGAACCCTCACAGCCCTAACAGTTACCAAATATAGACAGGCTACAGATGTTTATGAAAGATCCTTAAAATAAGATGGCCAGAAAAAATTCAACAGACAACTTACTGGAACATAATAGATTGCGAATGAGGATGGATCGTTATACCCTGATAAGGGAAGAGGAGAACATCAAGAGGTAAGCATTAGACTGAAATCCCCAGGGGAAGAGGAAAGTAAGCCAGCCAAGGCAACCATGAAGAAGGATGGTTAAAGGAGAGGCAAGGGCTGCCAGGCTTATGTGATAGTAAATAAAGACAGCTGCCAAACACTGAGTGCGATGAAAAGGTGCTGTTGCAGCCCTTTGCTGTTTAGGGGCTCCAAAGGAATAAGTCAAGTCAACCTGATTTATTCTTTTTTAGAGACTAGCGTACCTGTCCACGTGCATTGCCGCTGGAATAGAAAAAAGTCCGATGAAATATATAAGAAGGGTTTCATCCATGCGTTACCAATCCTATATTCTTAGACTCGTGACCTTGTTTTCTAAAAGTGAGTTATTTAAATGTAAACAATGCCTGTGCTTGGATCATAAATATCGGGACACGGGTTTACCTACACTACCGCATGAAAACCTTGAGTGTACATTAATCACTCGCCAAAATAATATGGTAGAACACACTTCGGTGACCGCCCATGTGTCAGAGACGTAGAGGGGCGCCAAATCGCATCCTGCCGGGGGGGGGGGGGGGGGGGGGGGGGCCATGCGAAATTAAATCCCCCTTCTCAAACACCCACCCACCCCTATTCCCCCCTCCCACCCCATAAACCTTCTCGAGAGTATTCATCAACTCCCTAAAGTTTTATGGCACCGGGATAAACTGAGTCGAACCGCAATTGTCTTTTATTTTTATATATATTGCGAAATTAAAAAAAGATTTTTTTTTACAGAAACCTTCCCTGGAGTGTTCTAATCAGCTTCCCCAAAGTTTGATGGCGATTGGAATAACGCCGTAAAACCGCTATCGACGTTTATTTTTATATAAAATATAGAGAGAAAATCGCACCCTCCTGTGGCGCCGACCTTACGAAAATAAAAATGAGTTTTTTTACAGAACCCTTCCCTGGAGTGTTCTAATCAACTCCCTGAAGTTTGATGGCTATCGGATGAACGTTGTGAGACCGCAATCGACATTTATTTTTATATACCATATATAGAGAGAAAACAAATCACACCCTGCCGGGACGCCACCCCTGAAAATTTGAAAATGTTTTTAGCGCAAAAACCTCCCAAGGAATATTCTTAACATTTTCCCAAACTTTCATGTTGCTTTTTTTTGTGATCCATTTTGCATTTTACAAAATATAATTTTACCTTTGATAATAACATAAGGATCTGATTTTCCCTTTCCTGTAATTCCAATATCAGCTTTTTTTAAATCTTTAGCCTCTAAAATCTTTACTCTCACCACTCCCTATAAATAAAAATGTTTTTTAAAATTAGAATAACTCCACAAAGATATCAAAATCAGTTAATAAGGCAATGCATAGGTTTATTTCAATTAGTCATAAGTACATGTTTTGTAATAGCTCTCACCACTAAGAAATGTTACCACCTGTGATTTATGTTTATTTTTTATATTAAGTTTTTACTAACAGTACGTGACAAGCCCTACACTGGCACGTGAGATAAAAATTATTTATTAAGGGCAGTGACTAAAGTACTCATTAAGCATCACATACACTGCGCTTTTCGGTGTTTGGGAATTTATACAATTTTCAATTAAAGGTCTATATGTAAATATGGATATTGGTGAAAATAAAACACATACATAATCATAAAGGCAAAAAAAAAAACCAAACAAAAATGCAATAATTAACATTAACACTAACGGAATCATATACACAAACATAAACGACAAAATAATCATAAACTCAAACGTAATCGGAAACATGAAGTTGAACTTAAATACAAACATAAACCCAAACAATAACACAAAAAGTAACATAAAAGCAAACAATAACAGTAATGAAAAGTTAAACATAAATATAGTGGACATTTAGAAACAGCTCCTAAGCTATTATTGATTAAAAACAATAATTAGCAAAAAGAACATTCATTGTATAAAAAATTAAAAAGGTAGTATTTATAATAACTGTGTTTTAACTACCAAATTGCACTTCTTCAATCCATGCTTATCTTTTTTTTTCAACATCAAAACAAACTAAAAGGAAGTAATTTTTTTCTGATGGCCTAAATCTATTTCTCAATTGACACTTTGTTCTCAGGTGAAATCTCTCATGCAAAACCAGATAATGCATAAATGCCATCAAGGGAAGTAATTGGTACTAAGTGATGTAATTTATATACTTTTTTCAGACAAAATTAAAATTTTTGTAAACAGGGTCCATAGCCAAATCCCAAAAGAAAATTCAAGGCTTTTTCAAGGTTTTCAAGGTGATTTTGGGGGGAATTTCAAGGTATAAACTACCACTAACGGGCATTACAATGAGGGTGATGTATGTTTTTTGCACACACAATTTTTGAAATAATTTTGGTGTTATTACAAAATTATCTAAGTCAGGAGATTGTCTGAGAGTCCAGCATAATCCTTTTTGCAATCAGTATCTTTGGTGTCAAATGACACTCCTCCAACTTCAATTTTCAGAAAAACCTCTTTCAACACTGGCTTGACCATGTGACAGAAGCAATAGATGTCTAACAATTTTCCAAATGTTCACATAAGAAATTTTGCTACCAAGCTGTTCTATGAAAAAAATGTCCAGCCTATCATGTTCTCAATTAGATTTAGATAGACAACCATTTAGAGTACATGTATCTATGTATGTTGAAAATTGAAACAGAACTTGGTCACACTCAGCTGATTTCAGTTTCCATTTGTTGACTAGGATGTGAAGAATTCCCTTCATTTTTTTTGGTGAACTGGCTCTATTTTTAAACATTTGCATTAGGCTAAGTCTCTCACTAATGACTAAAGTAATGGAGATTTCAACAAAAAATTTGATGAAAATCCTATCAAAGTTGTCTTACAATCAGATTTGAAATTGAGAATTTGAAGCTCACTTGCTTTGTTTATTTTTTCTAGAGACTTTATTAGAGAGTCAGCAACAAACCCAACTTCAATTGAATGACTTGTCAATGTCAAGTGATAATCAGAATCAGGTCATTATACATAAAAGGAAGCATTGGTTTCCTTTAAAAAGGACTCTGGACACATATAGAAACAAAAAAAAACCTAGCTATGCTTGTAGAAATTATCCTGCTTAATGTCATAAATGACCTCACGCTTTTTAAAAGATTATTACCTCTCCCCCCCCCCCCCCCCCGCCACACATCACAAAAAGCCAGGCCCCGCCCTCTAAAATGACGTCACACCTCAGCCTATAACCCCTCCCACACCCCCCCCTGATTGCAGTTCAATTTTTATTAAAATAGGATTTTTTTTCCCAAACTCTTGTCTGAACTCTGTCAAAATAGAGTATTTTTTTTATCAATTCCTTTTACAATTTATTAAAACAGTTTTCTAAAATGCTAAAATTCGTTTTCTAACATTGCTTTTTAATAATGCAAAAGTGTGATGTCAAACGATCTGACCCCCCCATCCCCTCATCACACACCGTCACACAATTACGGATCCCCCCTCCCCCTACGAGTGTGACGTCATTTATGGACGACCCCCAATGTCCCCACCTATGATATACATGATGACGTAAAGAAATATCGTGGAAGTTTTAAGTTAGTTCATATCGCGGAATAACAGAATTAAGTTGTTTTTTTAGCGCAATTTCCATTCTGGAGAATTGCGTTTATTAACTCGTCATTTCTGGGAATGGATGGATGAATGTATGGATGTGTGTCCGGGCTTTAAGTCGTATCTCCTCCTCAACGAAGCAATATCGATGACTAGTTACAAAAGCAATTATGTTAAGCAAGTTACGAGGATGAGCATAGGCCATAAAAATTCCGGGTTTCTTTCATGTATTTCCCGGAAAAGCCAAAAAAACTCGAAAAAATGCAGTTTTTGGCCCATATCTCGGCAACCAGACCACTTAGCGACTTGAAACATGTACCAATCGATTCCTGCCATAATTTAGAACAATATTGCCGAAGAAAGTTTTCAAAAATATCCTCTCGTTCGGTCACAAATTTTAAAATTACATAAACACCTACAAACCGATCGTTCTTCTAGCTTGAACGCAACCCAGCATTATACGTCAGAGCTATTTTTAGATAACATAAGGAAATTGCGCATAAATGTCACTAGACTTTTTTAAGTAACTTGTTTAAACAATTTCCAAGTAACTACGCTAGTAATACTCATGTCAGAGATGTAGCCGCCCGACAAAGTGAAAAGCCGCAATTTTCTCAAACACGGTAATTCGAGGCTTCTTAAACATTTCAAGGACGTTTTACCACAGTAAAAATCAATTAGATCTAGACCCTGCTAGACGGTGTAACTAAATTATAGCAGACCTACATATTTTGTTCAATGACCTAAAACGATGCAGATCTAGTTTTTGTTTTCGCTTAAATCTAGCAGTAAGCCCAATATTAAAGATAACCACGTTAAAATTAGATAAACAGCGTTTGTAGAACTGCCTTGACCGTGAGACACTACTGTGCTCGCGCGTGGTCTCGTGTCGTAGGTCTTACGGTCAGCGCGACCTTGAAGTGAGAGGTGGTAAAAAGTGTCCGTAAAGTTGAGTGAAAACAGCACAGTCATAGTCCTTCAAATTATTTTTCTTTTCTTTTGATAAATACACATTTTTTTTTTACGTCGGCGCAAAATCTTTCCTTTTTTTAAGAAGACAATCGGCGATGCTAATGAGCTGGTAATGTTAGGATTTAGTTTTTTTTTAATTACACAGCCTAGCGGTAGCCCATTGATGACGTCACGTAATTAATGCGAATTTTACCCCAACCTCTATCGTCATAAATAACCAGACAGCCACGTCAAGAATGACATCAAAAAGTTCTGTCTACAGCCTCACCCATCTCATACAGTCAATGTGTATTTGGTCCATTGCGCATGTGAGATTGACGATTACGTCATTTGCTATTGGTTTTTTTAACGAACGTGATAAATATGCCTATTGGCATTAGGAAATCTTGTTGGTTAATAGTTAAAAATCTAGATCTAGATCCACGACTATATTAATTATTAATATACTGCGAGGTCACTGTAAGTTGAGATAGACCTAGAAGACCTTCTAAGGTCGCAGTGACCGAAACATCTGCTATCGTGGGGTACACAAAGAACCGTGATTGATCTAGGTTCGTAAAAACGTGTCTTCTCGCACATCTAAAACAACAGAACACAATTACTCGATAAATTATATCTCGCTATTTACCCGTAATTCCGCAGCTACGTTTCGCCCTTTTGTGTTTTACCCACACCGAGAAAATTTAAATTTAAATAAATAGAAACCTACGCTCGCATAGTTCAGGCTATTCTTTTTTTATTTAAACCTAAGGCTTATTTTCTTGAAGAAAAAATATTAGTAGTTCTAGATGTAGGATTAATTATAATCGAGATAATTTCCATGCGTGACCAGCATTTTAATGATTTAGGCCACATTCCAATTTTTTTCTTTACGGACATCACCGATCAGGAGACAACAGACCACTCGCGGGGTCAATAAAGTTCACAATATAAATAGAGCCAACGACTGCCAAGATATTGTCGGGAAGGGATTTGGGGGGGGGGGGGGGGGGGGGGTTCGATTGTTATGATTGAAGATGTTTGAAACCATAGAACCGGATAACACGGAAATTTAACACAAGAAAAAAAAAAGGTCGACACTAAATCGATTTTGATGTTTACTGTGGGCTTTTGCGTAACATTTGCGAACTAATTCCGCAACAGGGGTGTCAAAATCGAAAAATTACGGACAAATCCGTACAAGTAGGTAGGCCCTAACAGAAAACAATGAATCTAGATCTAGAATCTAGTAACTCGGTCGTAAACGGAGATATCCGAAAAACGATGCTAAATTTAGCCCTCGGCTACCGTTTACGTCACGATCTAGAATCTATGTTAGGAAGAGCCTATGCAAAACTGGTCAGGTTGAGGTCATACCGCGAGGCTCAGCGAAGGAGAGGGTTGGAAATAGTAGACTCCGAAGTTAACGCAGACCCACGGCAAAAAAAAAAAGCCAGAAAAAATTTAGATCCATCAGAATTGAATTTTTTTTAAAAATTCGATTTACGCACGGTTTTCAAGGTTTACCTATAAAATTCAAGGGGTTTTGCTCATTTTTGGGGAATTCAAGGGTTTTTCAAGGATTCAAGGTCCGCTACGGACCCTGTGTAAACGTTAATACATTTAGTTTGATTTCCTTCTTTGAACTTTACATCAATTAAAATGTTGAATTGTTAAATGAAAATTTCATAAAATGTTCAATACTGAGTTTTCTAGACATCAATATAGATTTTGAAAAAAAAATTAACATTTTAAACAAATTACACAAGTGTGATGAAGTTGAGTTTTTTACAATATGCATGTCATCCACAAGTCCACCATCTACATACAGAGAAACAGACTCCATTTTAACTTTATATATTAGATTAATGAAAGAAAATGAGATCTCAAAGCTGAACATACTTAATATAAACAGTTATAAATAAAAATCTCACTTACTTCTGGTTGAGGATACCGTAATTTATTGAGATCCAAATCTTCAGCCAGTTTAATTGGAAAGCGATTGGGCAAAACCATGAAATTGGCAATCTGCTCTTGAATTATTGAGTGCAGCATATCACTAGAACATAGGAAATATTTGCTAAAATTTAAATTAATTAGTTTTAAATTAATAGTACACTAATGCAATGGGACAGGGTGGTAAAGAGCTCATCTGATAACTCAAAGATCTTGGTTCAGACTCGTGACTGAAGGATGTCTCATATTCCAGCCAGCTCTGATCGGTGTGTAACTCACATAGGGAAAGTGAAGGCGGTAAGGCATAGTGCTGACCATACCATCCCTACATTGCTGAGGTAAAGAAACATAAACACAACTTCCTTACAATAGGTCTTAAAGGGGGGCTTTACTTCCGAAAAATTAAGGAATATACATTATCTATCCTAATATATAAAAGCCCATGTGCGCACTTCTATTTCTCTGTCAGCATGTCCCAAGGCTATAAGATCAGTATCTTCAGCAATATAAGGAGACAGAGTTTCTTCCAGGCATCTCTTCGGGGGGGGCTTTGACCCCCCCGAAAATTTTTTACCGCCCCCCCCCCCCCGAACGAAATGAAATTTATACAATTTATATAGAAAATATATACTTTTAACGGTGTCCGCCCCCCCGAAGAAAGTCTACCGCCCCCCCCGAAAATTTCAAGTGCCCCCCCCCCCCCCCCCCCGGAGAAAAAAGTCTGGAAGAAACACTGTAAGGAGAACTTAAAAATACGGACTTTGTTGAAAATAATATGGTGATGTTTTAAATGTATAAAAACTAAATTTTATTTAAAGAAGCAAAATAAAAATAAAGCAATATTCGAAAGTAGAAACATATTTTTAATTATGCATCCGGAAAAGTGTTTATGGTTGTGACAAGAATACAAAAAACAAGTGATGTCACATGTTTAAATTACGGAAAGTACACAACACTAATGGCATTGCCATCATCTTCCAATTTTAGAATATAAAAAAATGAACTATTTCATTCAAATTTGATTTAGATCTATAGACAGACGCTATGAAATGTATACAATTTTCTCGGTCTAAACTATTACACATTACTTTAAAAAACACATAAATACCATTTAAGTCTCTTAATCAGTGTGTTGACTAATGATGTATATAATCTGATTTTAATTTCTCTAATAGGTATTGGTAGCCTATGTTTTTAGTTATTTCTTTGCTTTGTCTCTAATGTCGTTCAAGGTGTAGTAAAGCACATTGCGCTGTGACAGATAACTATTTTATCAATGATCTTTTCCAAAAAAGTATAACATTAATAAACCGCGAGTGATCTCCCCTAAACTTTCTCAAATATTCTTCTATAACTTGGAATATAGACATGATTTTTAATTACTTAAACTTTTAAAAATAGAATAGAATCTCATAGAAAAAAGAATTGCCCACCAAGCGAACGCCAAAACAAAATGTGCATAATAGTGCATTCTCTATACTTCATACTAGCCGTCCCGGCCAGGCCCTGCTCTGGCTTCTGTGAAAAACCTTTCTGTTAAAGACCATTACCTGTGTGTTTAGTAATCATCATAAACCCGGCATTGCCCACCCAAACCACAACCAACCAAAACCAAAACAACAAAACGCTAACACAATTACAAATACAAACGAAAACCTAACAACAAACCCAACCACAACCACCATTACAAACACAAAGAAAAAACAAACAAAAAAGCAAACGAAAACAAAAACCTAACAACAAACCCAACCACAACCACAAACACCAATACGAACACAAAGAAAAAAACGAACGAAAACGCAAACGAAAACAAACCAACTCCAAATGCAAAACCAACCACAAACACAAACCCAAAGAAAAAAACACAAACGATTAAGCTAACGAAAACAAACCAAATCCAAACGCAAAACCAACCACAAACACAAATACAAAGAAAAAAACACAAACGAAAACAGAAAGAACAAAAACGAACCAAATCAAAACGCAACCACTAACGCAAACCCAACCTAAACACAAAGCACTAACGCGAACATAAGCGCAAAGTGCTCACAGTCTAGCCCGGGGCGGAATCGCCTGTTTCAGCTTAATAAACGACTATAGTACCCCGACTTATTCATAGTCATTTGCACTCACTTTAACGAACGTAGGCGCCAAACCGAACACGGGAGGCCCGTGGCCCCAAATAGCAGCCTGTCTGGGTGCCAGAGAACGCCCATATTTGATTCACTGAAAGACTATAGTAACCTTTCTTATCCATATTCTATCGCACTGTTTAAAGCGAAATTATGCACAATAGCGCTCACAGGATAGCCCAGGGTGCCAAATTGAACCCTGGTGGGGCGCCGGCAGACGCGCCTGTTTCAATTTAATGAAAAATTATAATACTCCAAGCTTATCCGTAAAATACCTACAACATTTGCACTTGATCAATCCCCGCTAATTATGTAATTATTTTTTTCCCAACACCAAAACAAAGTAATAAAAAGTAAATTCTTTTCCACTAATGCAATGTTTTATAAAGGGAAGTAATTGTGTTTTCCTAATTTATCAAAGGGAAGTAAGTGCTAAAGGACTAAATATAAATAATTTTCAGACATAATTAGAATTTTTGTTATTTTTTTTAAATTGTGTTTAATGAACATGCCGACAATTATTACTATCAGTTTGAAAAATGAAAATTATTTCCCAACACTTTCAGCAGTAATTTTTTAACTCAGATTAAATTTAGACCGTGTGCACTATAATAATCTAACACTTAAATCCATCGAAGTATCCACGACAAACATTTTACACTTTACATATTACACTTTACATACAGAATTGAGCTTTATATATTAGATAGACCAGAAAGTAAAAATATAAAGGCCTATAATTCTTGTGAAACCCATGTCTATTTAATATAAATGCAAAGTGTAGGTTACTTTTCTTAACACATGCATTAGATTGTGTACTTCTTACTAGTTTTAGGGACCAATTTTAAAGCTTCTACCCACTCAATTTGCCCCTCCACCTCAGGAAAATAATAACCCTTTATTACTTTTAACCTTCCACCCATCCATTTTTAGTTTTAAATCTCACCAGGCATATTATTTAACTTAGAGTTTTAAGCATTACAAAATGCTTAATCAACGCATAATACTATGTTGCCACAAAAATACATTTTCATTGGTCACAGCCTGTTCAAAATAAGCACCTCTGTAAATAGGATGTTGGTGAAAAACATCTCATTTCAAAAGAGAGAAGAAAAACAATTACTAGGACATTTTTTTCTTCTGGCAAACAGCTTCTAAAATAATATTGAAATTGTGCTTGGCTTTTATAAGTGGAATTTTTCTGGAATAAATTGGGTTTTACCAGGGACAATGATCATTATTACACAACAGAAAACTTCTACAACTTGCTTGATGTTTAATGAAAAGACATGTTCTGTGACCAATAGCTATCCAATGACAAAGAAAGAAGAACACAAAATAAAGTCAACTTTCATTTGGCCCAATTATATTTCTCAATTGACACTTTGTTCTCAGAGTAACATAAGAAATGATGAAATCTTTCAGAAATTACGAAATGAGATATAGCCTAAATGTCATTAAGATTTATTTATTTGGGCAAATGATGAGAAATATCTATCATTGGCAAAAAGAGGCCTCACATAAAACTTGGCAAGAGAACCTTTAACATGGAGTTGTGTCAAAGAATAAAGTTTTAAGAGTATTTTAGATTAGGTTGCATTTTGCCATTCACAAGGATTTTTGCGGACAAAGCCCAGACAAAAAGGAAGGTCAATGCTATCATAAAATTTTATTTTTGAGATTGTAAGTCAGAAGATCACATATAAGAAGATGCCACTGTCACATGTAAGTTATTCTTTAATTTTGAGAAATGTGATAGAACCTTGTTTCCATTCAATCAGAAACAGTACTGAATGATTACCTTCAGATTACCATGTGCAAAAAGTTTGCCAAAACATAAAAATACTACTTTTGACCCCCCCCCTCCCCCCCTTTTCCGGTTGAATACAGTCACTTAAGCTTCATCTTTCTGCCATCCGGTGTTAGAGCCTTGTCGTGGCTTGGCAGCTTGTGTATCCTGACCACCCCCAGAGCTATACCAGCGGGAGTGTAAACTCCTGGTAGGTTCAACCAAGCTGGGAAGGTCTGCGCGGGTAGGGATCAGACCAAAGCTAACACCCTGGTTCTCCAGGTTGGGGGTTGAAACATAAGGCTAGCAACCTTATCTCGTAAAAAAATATACCGCTACAGAAACTACAAGTACACAAATCCAACACCGACTTGGTCAAGGGGGATCCTTTCTAGAAGAGCCCATGATGCCTATTAGTGAAAGCCTAACGGAAGCTAGTTTGCTGACAAATCTCCTAACGCCCAAGACCAAAACCAGATTAATGACCTGGAACATCAGAACCCTATATGAAAGCAGCAGATCAGCCCAGGTCGCCAAAGAAATGAGGAGGTATAAATTAAAAGTCCTAGGATTAAGTGAGACACTGTGGAACGGCAGTGGCCAAACTAGGTTGGTCTTGGGAGAGACTGTCATCTACTCAGGTCATGCAAGGTGCAGCCATAATGATGTCTCCAGAAGCAACAAATGCTTTGATTGCATGGGAGCCAGTCTCACCACGACTCATAGCAGCTCGTTTCAATGCCAAGGGAAGGAAAACAACTTTAATCCAGTGCTATGCACCCACAAATGCTGCAACAGATGAAGAGAAAGAGGACTTCTACAGCGCCCTGCAGGCTCAAATCCACAAATCACCAAAAAGAGATAAAAAGATAGCAATGGGAGACATGAATGCCAAAGTTAGAACAGAAAATAAAGAACCGGAGCTCACAATGGGGAAAAATGGAATAGGCACAATAAATGAAAACGGGGAACTCTTTGCTGATTTCTGCGCATTTAATGATCTAATTATAGGGGGGACAATTTTCTCTCATAAAGATATACATAAAACCACCTGGACGTCACCCGATGGCAAAACAAAAAACCATATTGATCACATCACAGTTTCCAGAAAGTGGAGAAGAAGTTTAATGGATGTTAGGGCGAAACAAGGTGCAGATGCAGCCTCAGACCACCAACTCGTGGTTGCAATACTAAAATTAAAACTAAAATCCTACAGGGATCGAGCTGATAAACCGCACTTTAAATTCAATGCAACATTTCTTAGGTGTCCAAAAATAAAGGAAGACTTTAACTGCGCAGTAAAAAATAGGTATGAAGCACTCTCCAGCCTGGCAGAGGATACAGTAGAGCAAAAATGGCTAGGAATACAGGAACTATGGAAGTCAACATGCACTGACATATTGGGGAGAAGAAAAAATGAACAAAAAGAATGGATCACAACAGAGACATGGGCCAAAATTGAAGATAGAAAAGAGATAAAGCAGAAGATTAACAAATGTAAGGATGAAAAAGAGAAAATAAACCTCAGAACACATTATTTATTATTGTGAAGTAAATCGCATGGTCAGGAAAAGTGCAAAAGAAGACAAAAGACATTTCATTCAGGAGATGATAGAGGAGGCAGAAACTGTGGCACGACAAGGAAAAATAAAGAGGCTCTATGAAGTAACCAGGACACTATCAGGTAAGAACATTAATCCCAACAAACCAGTAAAGGATAAAGTAGGAAATATCTTAACAAGTGACACAGAACAGAGAGACAGATGGGTACAGCACTTCGAAGACATTTTAAACCATCCTCTCTCATCAAACATCCCGGATATACCACCTGCAAATCACCTACTAGATGTGTGTACAGATCCACCCACAAAGTTAGAATCAATAAGAGCAATAAAAAACATGAAAAATGGCAAAGCAGCTGGCCCAGACGGCATCCCACCAGAGGCACTCAAAGCAGACCCAGCCATATCAGCAGACATACTACATCCTCTACTTAAGCAGATTTGGGAAGAAGAGATAATCCCATCTGACTGGAAACTGGGATACCTGATTAAACTGCCAAAGAAGGGAGACCTGACACAATGCAACAACTGGAGAGGGATAATGCTTCTTTCAGTTCCAAGTAAGGTGCTGACAAGAATCATCCTAGAGAGACTTAGAGATGCCTTGGACAAAAAGCTGAGTCAAGAACAGGCTGGTTTTCGTCAGGACAGGTCATGTACTGACCACACTGCCACGCTGCGCATCATTATCGAACAGTCCCTTGAGTGGCAATCCCCCTTATACATGACCTGTCGACTTCGAAAAGGCGTTTGACAGTGTGAATAGAGATGCTATCTGGAAATTAATGAGCCACTATGGAATACCCAAAAAATTTATATCTATCACACAGAAACTATATGAAGACTCCACCAGTCAGGTAATACACAAGGGAAAGCTAACAACACCATTCACTGTGACGACGGGAGTAAGACAGGGATGTATGCTATCGCCAATGATATTCTTGATGGTAATCGACTGGATCATGCTGAGGGCCACAAAAAACGACACAGGAATTCAGTGGAGTTTCACAAAAAGGTTGGAGGATCTTGATTTTGCCGATGACATCTGCCTACTATCTCATAAGCATCAACACATGCAAGCCAAACTAAATCGGCTGTCTGAAGAAGCCTCCAAAATTGGACTAAAAATCAATAAAAACAAAACAGAGGTCATCAGAATCAATAACAGCCAGGACCTGCCGATACAGCTAAATGGAGAAGATTTCCGAGAAACAAACACATTCACAATTCTGGGAAGCGTGATCAATAAGGACGGGGGAGCAGACGAGGACATAAAATGCCGTATTAACAAGGCTAGATGTGCCTTCAACTCGCTGCGCCCGATGTGGAGGTCCACGGCCCTGTCACTCCGGAGCAAAATTGGGATTTTCAACACAAATGTTAAGGCAGTGCTACTCTATGGCTCGGAGACCTGGAGGGTTACGAAGACAAATACTGATAGGCTACAGGCGTTCGTAAACAAATGCCTACGACATATACTCAAAATAAGATGGCCAGACAAAATATCAAACAAAGACCTGTGGCAAATTTTAAGGCAACAGCCAATAGAGAAAGATATTAAGGCCCGAAAATGGGGATGGATCGGACACACGTTAAGAAAAGAAATAGAAAACATCGCAAAACATGCATTGGACTGGAATACCCAGGGGAAAAGGAGGGTGGGCCGGCCAAAGAAAACATGGAAGAGAACGGTTGAGGAAGAGGCAAAAACAGCTGGGCTCTCATGGGCACAGATTAGAGGAGCAGCCCAAAACCGAGTCCGCTGGAGATGTGTGGTTGCGGCCCTTTGCTCCCCAGGGGCCATAAAGGAGTGATGATGATGATGAAGCTTCATCTTTAATTCAATTAAGTTTTAAAACCGTGTTTAACTTCATTATGCTTTTGTTGTTTCTATATATTCTGATTAAGTGGGATGGGAGAAGTATGTCAATCTGCTTAAAAATACAATTACAGATATGCCTACCCCAGGCAAGTTGACAGAATTTTAACTTAACACTATTTATGATATTCTGTTTATAACACACACAACTGTACACACATTTATATAACCATACCTCAAACCTGGTAAATCAAATGCATTAGCCAAATTTGTGAGGTCAAAATTTAATTCCTGAAATGAAATCATAATAAATTTATTTATTTACATATCTTGAATAAGTTTAGTAACATTTCGTGTGTTTTTAAAAAAACACATTAAAACAATTTTGGTTATATTTGGTAGGCCTATAGAAATAATTTGCACAATTAAAAAAATATGGTACTGGATTTTTCAAGAAGAACACAAGCACTCCTCCAACAAGTGGCATTTTATTTATTAAAGGTTTCATCACAACCCTTAAAGTTCCATGGATCTGGGGAAAAAAGCATATTTTTATACTGAATATTAATTACATTGTGAGAAATAGACAAGTTGATAACTTATCACCTAAATAGCAATATTTTTTTTTATATCTACACATGAATTAATCCCTTATTTAAATTATGTCTTCTATGAAGTTACTAATTTATATATTAAACTATTTATACAAGCAGGGTCCTGCACTGGCCTTTGCGTAAACCTATCTGTCAAGGACCCTCACTTTTGTGTTTATTGAGCAGCATATATACGGCTTTGCCCGTGCATAGGGAATATATTACATTTCCAATTAAATGTCTATATGCAAATATGGATGTTGAAGAAAACATTTAAAACCCTAAAACAAACTCTAAGCCTAACTTTAACTACAACCAACCATCAACATAAACAATGTAAAAGCAAACATAAATGCTAGCAAACATAAATATAAACGTGTGCATAAACACAAACTTAAATGCAGACATAAACGCAAACAATAACGCATATGGAAACAAATACAAATCAAAACATAAATGCAAACATAAACATATATGCAAACATAACATAAATATAAACATTAATGCAAACACAAGCATAAACACAAACATAAATACAAGCTTCAACACAAACATAAGCATAAAAGCAAACACAAACAAAAACATAAACCCAAGCATAAACTCAAATGTAGACATAAACATAAGTACAAGAATAATCATTAACGCAAACATAAACTCAAAAATATACACACAACACAAATCAACAGGAAACATCAACATAGAAAAAAAATTATTTGACGTGTTTTAAGCATCAGTGTGACTGATGCAATTTGTTATCAATACTAATGGTGTATTATTAGATGCTTAATCTCAATTTCTGATTGCATCATCTAAATTTAGATGCTATTTGCATCATTCGCAAAGTGACGGAACTGTAGGGAAGGATTTCCTCGCGTTACAATTTTATTTTTAGAAGTGTGACTTTTATTTTTAGATTTGAGCCACCCTCCGAAACTCAATTTTTTACTGAAATATTTTTGTTCGCAGCCAAATTGCCAGGCGGACACGCCTGATTCAATTTAGTGAGTGACTGTTACGCCACATCTGATCCATTGTCTATCGCACTGTTTAGAACTTATGCATACCAATACTTACGATTTATAAACTCAATACTATTTCTAGTATAACCACAAAATACTCTTTTCATTTGAGTCTTCCCTCTTTGATGACCATAACATTTAATACTTGTGTCTGTGTGACAGCATGGATCAGGTGGAGGGGAGATGGGGGTTAACACACGACTGCTGTCCCAAAAGTATCAAGTTCGAAATACCAGACCCAAGTACATTTGTTGTACTTAATTCAGCAGCAACATATACATATTATGTTAGGGAAAGCAAAAGCGGTAGAGCATGGATCTTATCACACTACATATCAAACACCAAGGACACATAAATAGATAAACTTTACTACCCCTGCCCTATGAACCGGCAGGTCAGAAATAACATAACCACTTAACCAAAATTGCTTTCCAGTCAGGCAAATCAAAACTGATTCTTTTGTTATTCAATATTTGCAATTTAAAAAATAAATCTGAAAAACTACTAAAAATCCCCAATCATCAAAGATTTTTTTAAACGCTCAACTAATTGATTTAAAACAAAATTAGTAAATATTCATTTAGACACACTGAAATGTTGCATGCCAATTAAAAACTACTACATTTCAGGAAGAAAATATGGGTAACTTTTTTGTGTGTGCTATGTTTAGAAAATATTAGAAAAATAGAAATTACTAAGCGTCAGTTCATTGTGCCTCAAATTAGTATAATACACCAATGAATTGTTACCGCCCTTACAAAAACGCAGAGTGAAGCATTCTATTGTCTTTATTAAGGGCTAAGCAAAGGCGTAGTCTGAGGAAGTATTTTTTACCATTGGGATTGGTCTACGACCTCAAAAAGCAGAATGGGCAGTCGTCATTTTTTTAAAGGTATAGACTTATATAAAGAGGGAATAACTTTTTATCCCTTGGTGACCAACAGTTTTCCCATATGACCGAGTGAATTACCAAGGTCCATGCAAAAAAAAAAAAAAAAAAAAAAAAAAAAAAAAAAAAAAACAAGAACCCAAGTACTCTAAAAAAAATTTTTTTAAATGTACCAGTTTTAAATACATTTACAATGCTTATAGAAGGAAACACAGCGTCTGCTCAGTTAAAATGAAAATGATTTTTATCACGGTTTTCACCAAAAGGAGACAGTTTGAATTATCCCTTTTCTTCTTGACTGTTTTTTTTTTTAACTCTGGGGATTGGTCACTGACCTCTCAGATCGGTATAAGGGGTTGTCAATTACTTTTATTGATAATTTCTGTTCTGATCACCCATTGCTGGTGCCTTCCAAATTTAAAGCACCTGTGGCACTGGCTAGTGCCTTAACCTATAGTTGACAACTTTGCATTATAATATATATATATATATATATATATATATATATATATATATATATATATATATATATATATATATATAAAACTACTATAGGATGTTACTATCATTGAGTTAAAACATATTAGTAGTTGATGTATTTACTGTGAGATCTTTTATTCCAGCATTGATACCTTTGACACTGACTGCAATGTTGGAGTCACTGCTGTAGCTGTTAAAAACAAATTATAATAAAAATATGTTATTTAGCTTGTACATAATGTCTATTTAATGTAGCTATATTTTAGTATCCTGAAAAATAACTATCTAGTTAGCAAGAATTTTATCATCAGTAATTTACTTTAAAAAATTACATTTAAAGTAATTCTTTTTTTAAAATTATCAGAAATTCCTTTAAAATTATTTTATTTTTAAAATTAAAGACTGCTAGCTAGCTACATTCTCTTATATAAAAAAAGATATACAACTGAGGTGCCATGTAGAAATTTTAAAAAAAAAAGTATTGATAAGAAGCTTTCTTTACATTTTCTTAAAATATTTAATAACAATCCAGTATTTAAATAAATATGAAAAGCAAGGATTGCTTCTTAAATTTTAATAAAGGTATTCTATACATAACAGAGTGACCCACACTTTTCTTTTTAGTTATTTAAATAGTGGTTTATTATAAATTTTAAGAAAACCATTTATTTTCTAATTTTAAATTATATAAGAGGTTGTTATTAAAAAAGTTTTCATGACTTTTTTTTAAAACTAAAATTTTTGCATGACTCAGACATGCCTACCCCTGTCAGCCAAAAGTAGGAACAGTTATGCCTAAAAAGAGGTATTTGAAGCCAAAAAGAGGAACATACGCGCGGACGCAACTTTACTAAGTCAAAAATAAAAATAATTAATTCAAAATTACTCTAATGACATTAGTAGGCTTCTAGTCCTATATAACTAGTCTCTAGGATACATTTAAATACTGCTAAATGTCAGCTTACATTTTAAAAAATAAATTAACCAGTAAACCCCCCCCCCCCCCCGAATAAAAATCATAGCTTTGACATAACATTATTGATTATTTGCTATGTTCTAGGCTATATGAATAACAAATGCTGAAGGCTTCATCATATCTAATATATAATATAAGTTGCGAGCAAAGACCCTTGATCTACCTAGTAAAACTCTTAGTTACTTCTTACTAAGTTCTTCATAATAGTAGTTACTGGTTAAGTTAAACTTACAAGATAGATCAGTATTCACTATTTCAGTATCTACTAGTAGATCTAGGTACAATTCTAGATCTAGTAGTAGTAGATATACTACTAACTAGATCTAGATCTAGTATTAGATGATACTGGTAAATATTGTAAGTAAATTAGGAAACAGAAATGTGTGCCAAAGGGAGATAATCGCTTTTTCCTGAATTTTTTTTTCAATTTACTTGATTACCTTTCTTTATTAATTGTTTTTTTCAAAAAAATCGGAATCAACTGAGTCAATTTCGGAATCACGGAACAAATTACATTTTTAGGTGAAAAAGCGGGACGGTAGGCATGTCTGCATGGCTAGAAAAATGACACACCAAACGAACAAAAATAAAGTGCATATAATAGAGTTATGAAATTAGTACTTTACATAGAAAACCTTAATTAATGGTTGACAAATTAATTAATCATCAAATTAAGACAAATTTGCTGTCACATTGGATAACCATGAGGTCTTGACCAAATTTGAAAGAAATTGGTCAGGTATAAAGTGGTCGAAATTCCACTCATTACAAAAACAAAAGCACGAGTCAAGTTAAATAAAAGCTTGTGAAATAACTATACTTATAAAACAAATAATAAACTATTGACTATGAAGTTTGTAAATGTAGACTTAAAATTCGTCCTAAGCAAACTACAAAGTAAATCTGCATTCATTAATAATACACTCATAAAATACCCACACAAAAACTACTAAAAGTCAAATTAAAGCTATGCTTTTAACCTATTGATCTTATGTTTTATCTTACCACTTCAATGACCTGACAAACTAGTGCTTCTATGAGTTGTTGGACATAAGAGAAGTTATAAATTTTATTTTCCTTTCTGTATAATCAACTGCTTGACCTGCCTAATTTTAATTGTTGCATAGATGATGCATAAAAAATTTTGTATGTAAGAAAACAAAGGCAAGTGCATCAATGGCAGATTATCATGGTACTAGTATAACATATATTAAGCAGTTTGGTTTATGAACAAGTGTCTACTGAGAAAAGAAGTTGTGTAATAGTACAAATTAAAATTTAATTGTCTGTTTTCCTGTTCATCAAATAACGTTTAGAGCATAAATATTTTCATTGAACAGCAAGCAAGTCAGATCTTTTGTCTGTTGTGATGTTATGGTCAATGTCCTTGAATGAACTCAAATGTTCAAGGGCAGTTCATCTTACATAAGGCAAAAACTATCAGAATATTTTCTGATTTCCCAGTTATTTTAGCTGCCATAAGTAGGAGGTTTTTAACAACCCATAACTTATATTAGTCTCACAAAAATATGTTTATCGTGCCCTTATAGGAGACTAGATACATGACCCAATATGCCAGAACAAACAATGTGCCTTGGGCAGACATTTAAAAATGAAAATGGGTGGTTTCCTCCCATGAGGTACAGCGAAGGTTAAAGGATGTTATTTCCCATACTTTTTAGTTTTTCTAATTCTGAGAACTTTAGAAACCAACAAAAAGAATTTAATAGAATTTTTTTTTTCAAATCTTCAATTTCTATTCTTATTATTGTGAAAACTTTAAGATAGGAGCTAAATTAACTATATTGGTATACATAAAAGTCAAACAGAAAAAGTGCTTTAATTTAAGGAATTCTCTAGAGTTATGTTCTTATAGATTATAGAACAACCAATGAGTTGTAGAACCATATTAGATGATAAAAATCAGACGCTTACAGTGCAACAAATTATAAACATACTTTAATTCCAGATCCATGTAAATTTCGTCTCTTCTTAACTGAGAATATACTTTCAATCCACCAATTCTGGGAGGCTAAAAGATATTTTTTTAAAATATAAAATAACATAAACAAAACTATTACTCAAATTAAAACATTGGTGGTGCTGGAAAGTGGCAGTACCAAGGTTTAGTGGGGAAGTAGAAGGATATCTGTCAAGGCGGGTGGAGTGGGAGGGTGGAGTGGGAAGATGGAGCTGGAAGTTGTGTGGTAGAAAATATTTTATATGAGTGTGATATTGCTATAACCTTTCCAATAAACTGTAATAACATAACATTTTCTCATAGAATAGGCTAGTTTTGAGTTAGATATTAGATTGTAATATGAAAAGAGGTTGCACAATATTAAAAAAGAATCAAGTAATCAAGATAAAAAGAAAATAGTTAAAAGTAAGAACTTACAATGTCGCCTAGATCAATCTTGCTGAATTTAAATGACTGCATGGCAGCTGGAAGACTAGCTCTAATAGATTGCTCAACATTTTCTCTCAAAATTTTCTCTACATATTCCCCAATATATGGCCACATCTGACTTAAAATCTGTTACAAAATAAACATACAAGTTTTTGATAATGTAATTTTTTTTTTATTTCTTGACTAGTCTGTTAAACAAAGATCTGTCTGCACAAAAATACCTACCCAACTCTACTCTCCTACTATCATTAACCATTACCAAACTCTCTGATTTAAATAAAATCATGTATACCCTCCACTATAAGTTACTTTTTATGTAATACTAGCCGTCCCGGCCAGGCCCTGCTCTGGCTTCTGTGAAAAACCTTTCTGTTAAAGACCATTACCTGTGTGTTTAGTAATCATCATAAACCAGGCATTGCCCACCCAAACCACAACCAACAAAAACCAAAACAACAAAACGCAAACATAACACTAACACAATTACAAATACAAACGAAAACAAAAACCTAACAACAAACCCAACCACAACCACAAACACCAATACAGACAAAAAAAATATTTAAAAATAAAGCAAACGAAAACAAAAACCTAACAACAAACCCAACCACAACCACAAACACCAATACAAACACAAAGAAAAAACAAACACAAATGCAAACGAAAACAAAAACCGAACAACAAACCCTACCACAACCACAAACACCAATAGAAACACAAAGAAAAAAACAAACGAAAAAGCAAACGAAAACAAAAAAAATCCAAACGCAAAACCAACCACAAACACAAACTCAAAGAAAAAACACAAACGAAAATGAAAAAAGAAACAACAAAAACGGACCAAATCAAAACGCAACCACTAACACAAAACCAACCTAAACACAAAGAAAACACGAACATAAACGCACAGTCTAGCCCGGGGCGCCAAATCGCACCATGCTGGGGCGTCGGCGGAATCGCCTGTTTCAGCTTAATAAACGACTATAGTACCCCAACTTATTCATAGTCTTTTGCACTCACTTAAACAAACGTAGGCGCCAAACCGAACACGGAAGGCCCGGGGCCCCAAATAGCATTCTGTCTGGGCGCCTGAGGACGCCCATATTCGATTTACTGAAAGACTATAGTAACCTTTCTTATCCATACTCTATAGCACTGTTTAAAGCGAAATTATGCACACTAGCGCTCACAGGATAGCCCAGGGCGCCAAATTGAACCCTGGTGGGGCGCCGGCAGATGCGCCTGTTTCAATTTAATGAACAATTATAATACTCCAAGCTTATCCGTAAAATACCTACAACATTTGCACTTGATCAATCCCCGCTAATTATGTAATTATTTTTTTACCAACACCAAAACAAAGTAATAAAAAGTTAACTCTTTTCCACTAATGCAATGTTTTATAAAGGGAAGTAATTGTGCTTTCCTAATTTATCAAAGGGAAGTAAGTGCTAAAGGACTAAATATAAATAATTTTCAGACATAATTATAATTTTTGTAAAAGATGATATTTTTAAAAAATTGTGTTTAATGAACATGCCGACAATTATTACTATCAGTTTGAGAAATGAAAATTATCTCCCAACACTTTCAGTATTAATTTTTTAACTCATAAATTTAGACCATAAGCGCTTTAATAATATAACACTTGAATCCATCGACGTCTCGTTTTTTTATTTTTTGTTATATTCCTTTGTAATCCAAGACAAACATTTTACAAACAAACATTTTACATACAGAATTGAGCTTTATATATCTATATATATAATTCTTTTCTGGGATCAGTTAGAAAACAAGCTGCAAGCGCGCCTTTGCAGTCCCCTCTCTTCCTCTCTATCAATATCACTACCACCCCCACCCCACCCCCACATGATCTGGTGAGCGGTGTTCACTCTGAATGTTTACAAATCGTAGAGCTGGGTTTGTTGACGGATATTTGGGGCAGATAATTTAGTTTGAAACGATTTTAAACTTACAGGAGGTAACTAAGAGAAGGCTGCATTCACGGGGGGGGGGGGGGGGGGGTTGGGGGGGGGGTTAGTGTTTTAAAGCAAATACTATATTTTCAGTGGCAGCATTGGTACTGTCGAATTCACAAATTATGAATGAATGAAAAGTAGAAAATAAAACAACTAAATAGCGGCGTATGATACGCAGCGGGTCGGCTCGTTAGATATAATAACTTACATTGATATAATTAAAATTAGCTGTCTTTTTGTTAAAAAAAAACACTAAAGTAGATCAAATCAATGGCCTAAGCTGAGACACCTTCATCTTATGACATTGTGGGAGAGATGAAGATTCTCTACTCCACAAGCTGAACAAGACTTAATAGAAATCAACCACGATACCGATATCTACAATCAACTCAAAATGTCTCCGATAAAAGCACTAACATAAAGCCAAGAGAAAATAAATTGAGTCAGTATACCATAGGTGACAGCTGCTATGAATCATACCATTCCCAGAAAAATGTGCAAAGGAAAAATGCAGAAACAGAAAAACCTGTGAAATTCAAACTAATTATACTAATCTTATCCATAGTCTATCGCACTGTTTTAAAAGAACATAGACACCATGGCTCTTACTTAATAATCGGAGCGCCAAATTGCACTCTGCCTGGGCACTGCCTATGCAAAATTGAAATTTTTTCTCCCACTGAAACCTCCCCAGATGAAGGGGGAATTAATTTTGCATGGGCGGCCCCCCAGCAGGATGCAATTTGGCGCCCTAATCTTTCCTGTGAGCGCTATGGTGACTACGTTCAGTCTAAACAGTGTGATAGACAACGGATAGGATGGGGCGTTACAAACGCTTACTAAATTGAATCAGAGCCATGAAATACGTTTTTTAAATAATCAGAAAAATTAACCAAGGTTATATTAACTGTGATGTTTCTTTTAGTCCGTAAAAAAATCCAAACAGTTTCGTCACTTTGCGAATGATTTAATTAGCATCTATTTTTAGACAATCCAATCAGAAATTGATATTGAGCATCTAATAATAGACCATTAGTAATGGTTGTGAATGGACTTTAGTGTATTGAATGAGTTTGAGAGTATGTGTGTGGTTGAACGGGTTTAGTAAAGATGTTGATGGTTTGAGAGTATGAGTGTAGTTGAATGTGTTCAAAAAAGGTGTTGATGGTTTGAGAGTATGTGTGTAGTTGTATTAATAAAAGATTCTGAATGCGTGATAAAGGATGTGACGTAGGAGAGTATGTTTTGGTTGTTAAGATGTAGAAGTCAGTCTTGTCTTGTTGTAGTTGTGTTAGGAAGTCTTCGTTGATTTAGTCATCGTGTAAAGTTGATGTAATAAAATTATAGAAACGAAGTAAGCCACCTTGTCTCATCTAAATTCAATCATCCTACCTCGTTCATCCACGTTCAGCATCGACCCTGTACAAGAGCTCACATTATAACAGTAACGCTAACATATTGCATCAGTATCACTGATGTTTAAAACATCTCAAATATTTTTTTACGCGTTAAAGAAAAAATCCTGTTAATTTGTGTCACTTTAGCGAATGACGCAATCTGCATCATTGTTAACAGGATGCTATTGGGCACGTTGGCGTCTGTTAGTTCTAAAGAGCCAGGGGCCGCTAGCACCACCTATGCGGTAGTGTGATGGGGGGGGGGGGTCACCTAAGTGTGTTCTACCTCATTATTTCTGTGAGTGATTAATGTACACTCAAGGTTTTCATTCGGTAGTGTAGGTAAACCAGTGTCCCAATATTTATGATCCAAGCGCAGGCATTGTTTACATTTAAATAACTCACTTTCAGACAAGGTCAGGAGTCTAAGAATAAAGGATTGATAACACATGGATGAAACCCTTCTTCTATCCCTGCGGCAACGCGGGGCGTACGGGAACGCTAGTATTTATATAAAAAGCTATGTATGTGTGTGTGTGTCTGTTTTTTACGCATTACTACAACTCTCATCACATCGCCGAGAAACTTTGGGAAGTTGTTGAGAATATTCCTGGGGAGGGTCCCACGCAAAAAAAAATTTCTAATTCGCAGGGTCGGCACCCTGGCAGGGTGCGATTTGTTTTTCTCTATATACGGCATATAAAAATAAAAGTCAATTGCTATTTCACACCGTTCATCCGATCGGCATCAAACATTGGTGAGTTCATTAGAACAATCATTTTTAAATTCACAAGGAGGATGCGATTCTTCTCTATATAATATAAAAAAAAAATTTTATTGGATAAGGTTCGACACCGTTTATCAGAGTGCCATAAAACTTAATACTCCAGAGATGGTTTCTGGGGGAGGGGGGATTTAATTTCGCACATAGGCCCCCCCCCCTGCCCCCCCCCCCCCCTGCAGTATGTGATTTGGCGCCCTGGTCATTCCCGTGAGCGCTGTGGCGACTAAACCGACTAAACAGTGTGATAGACAATGGATAAGATGGGGCGTTACAGTTGCTCACTAAATTGAATCAGGCATGTCCACCGGCGCCATGGTAGGGTGCAATTTAGCTGCGAACAAAAATTCAGTTTTGGTCCCCAAAGGCTCACATGGGCCGATGAGGACCCTGTAATAAATTTTTTTTAAATAATCACATAAATTAACTATGTCAAAGATTTTTTTGTACGTGTTAAAGTAAACATCCTGTTGATTTGTGTAACTTTAGCGAATGGCGTAACCTGCATCATTATTTCAGGATGCTATGTGGCGCTCTGGGTTATCATGTGAGCACTATGGCGCCTATGTTAGTTTTAAGAAACCAGAGGCTGTACGCTGCGCCTCTGCAGTAGTGTGACCGGGGGGCTCCTGAGAGTACCCCTCTACGTCCCTGGCACATGGGCGGTCACCAAAGTGTGTTCTACGTCATTATTTCTGTGAGTGATTAATGTACACTCAAGGTTTTCATGCGGTAGTATAGGTAAACATGTGTCCCGATATTTTTTATCATATTTATGATCAAAGCGCAGGAATTGTTTACATTTAAATAACTCACTTTTAGAAAACAAGGTCACGCTTCTAAGAATATAGGATTGGCAACGCATGGATGAAACCCTTATTATATATTTCGTCAGACTTTCTTCTATTTCCACGGCAACGCGCGGGGACGAGTACGCTAGTAATACATAAAAGACAAAATCTGACTAAATATATTAGGAGGGTTTCATTAATGCTTTATCAATTCTATAGTCTTAGACTCTACAAATATTGCAGATTTTTCTGAATTCTTAAAAATATATACACATGTAAATATGAGCTTGATTTTAGTAGTATATAGTAGTTTTGTCACCATCATTTCTTTTGAAGCTGTTTGTTCTAAGTTTGAGAATGTAGACAGATGAGTGCTGCATGGTGCTTGTAGTGCAATGGACAAGTAATATTAAATACCACTTATGGGACAATCCATAGAGGCTAAAGCATGCAGGTGCCGAAATAAAACACCTATTGCATTAAATGCTTTTGTAAATCACTATGTGCGCAGAATTGCAGCTACAGCCATTCCAGACCATCCAATGAGGAGGTTTGGTGACATCACCAGTGTCCAAAAAAAACCAAGATATTTGATTTTGAACAGTTAAGAGGAAGGTCATATTGTGTATTGAATACATGTAGGAGAAGAACTGTTTTCTCTTGCCTAAAATTATTAGTGTACTGCCCTTTAAGCAATCCATCAGGGCAGCTTAAGCAAAAAGCTGAATAAAAACGATCATTTCATTATCATGCTGATATTAGATCTATAATTTCTAATTTATTTTCTGTCCTACATCATTGATTAAAACATTACAGTGCTAAACACAAAATATTGGTAACTTAAAAGGGTTTTTAACTAAATGTGCAGCATTTTTGAAAGGGTATCAGCATAATCTAAACATGTGAGAGAGTTAAATAAAATCAATTGTAATTTTAAAAAAGCTTTAATGTTACCTTATTTATCCATTCCGCTCTTTCAACGTCTGGAAAATTTACCTAGAGTACAAACGAAAACATATAAAACAAAAAATTGCTTAAAGATTCAAATACTTTTCAATTATTCAAAAATTTGTATAGGCCATAAATAGGCAAGTTCTTTTTTCCAGATTTTTAATTTGTCCAGTTTTTAGTTTCTCGTATACACAGTAGGCCTATAGAGGAAGTATTGTAATCATGCAAAAATTCGAGATTTGTGAGTAGGAAAAACAGTTTCGCAATTTTGTCCATATGTCTGTGTGTTTGTATATGTATGTGTGTCTGTGACGATAACTTGAGTATCGTTACAGCTAGGTCGATGAAATTTAATATATACAAGTATTATATCAAATTTGTAGTTTTGTATCAACTTTTCAGCATTTTCCGGTAACCTGAAGTGGAGCTTATTCTATTTTCAATTTTTCAAAAGCCTGTAACCTGAGTATTGTTTCAGATAGATAAATGAAATTTCACATGTAAGGAAAAGATCTAATTCTCTGCCTTCTGTCAAATATTGAGCAATTTCCGTTGACCGGAAGTAGTAATGTATGCTATTTACGATTTCTCAAAAAACCGCATGTGAATTTATAGAGTACTAATATATTCTGCACTATTATACACACATTGTTTTTTTTTTTGTTTGGCATTCACTAGGTGCGCAATACTTTTTTCTACGAGTTTAAGTTATTAAAAATGGATTAAAAATCATGTCTATATCCCGAGATGCCATCCCCTAGTGTTATATAAGAATTTTTGAGTAAGTAAGGGGAGATCACTCCCCGTTTATTACAATGGTGCGCTGTGTTCAAAACTGTCGTTAGAATGTGCGCAACAGTCACTAAATAAAGTATGGCTTTATCCTTCTCAAATAAAAATTGGGCTGAAGTAGATAAAAAGTAAATTAATATTTTTGTTATCTAAAATGCTGCTATATTTATGAATCTGGTTTTACTTTCTATTTTCTAATTCATGGGTCTCCATTTTATCTGGCCAGCGACGATCTTTTTGTCCACTGAATAAATGTTTCTTGGAGGTGGCTGAGGAGCTTTGCACAGAAAATTCAAAACTATTTGAAAATGAAGCTTTGTGTGCAAATACAATTACTCGCTGTGTTGCAGACATTGGTGAAAACATAGTGACTCTAATAGCGAAAAATTCAAGGAAGTTCAGCCATTTTTCAATTGCAATGATGAGTCACTGGGCAGCTGTTCCACCTCTCAACTTTGTGTGTTCATTAGAGGTGTGGATGAAGACCTGAACATAACAAAAGAGCTGGCTTCCCTACATATAATGTATGACACTGTTACCAGAGAGGATATCTAACCATAAATAGTTCAGAGACAAACACAAAATCGCAAGATCTACCATATTTCACATCAGTAAGATTGCTAATTTTGCGAGAAAATTCTGAGCAGAGTATCTAAGAAAAGAAATAGGTGACTTCCTGATATAAAGGCAAATCACAGCCATTATTGTCTGATGAAGAGTGGGTATAGAAATTAGCCTCTGCTGCAGACATAACTAGTCATTTAAATTTTCTGAACCTAAAACAGCAACAGAGTGAAATCTAGTTTCTGATCTTTACACCCACATAAAGGCCTTTAAATACAAACTTGTCATGCTTTTGGAACAAGTACTGGCTAACAACTTGACACACTTTCAGCAGTGTAAGGTCTTTACGGCTGAAACAACAACTGAGTTCTCCACGTCATTTACATAAGAGATCATTTAAGACCTCCAGCTGCAGTTTCAGTAGCGGTTTTCTGACTTGGATTCATAGGAAGAAGAAGTGAGACTATTTCAAAGCCCATTTGAAGCAAATGTGGCTAGTTGCAAAGATGAACTGCAGCTGGAGGTCATTGAATTGCAAGAAAATGACTTCCTTAGAGACACGTTCAAAGAAGGACAAATGGGTTTTCATACGTTTTTGCACAAGGAAGACTTTCCTAACTTTTGCATCAAAGTATCTTTCAAATTTTCGAACAAATGTGTGAACAAACATTTCCAAGAATAAAATACGTGAAGAACAATTTGAGAGCAAATGTGGACCTCGGGTGCGGGGGTGTGGACACTTGAAATTTTTATATATTTCCAAATCTATATATATATAATTCTCTTCTGGGAGACGTTAGAAAACAAGCTGCAAGCGCGCCTTGCAGTCCCCTATCTTCCTCTCTATCACTAACACCCCCACCCCCACATGGTCAGGTGAACGGTGGTTCACTCTAAATGTTTACAATCATAGAGCCGGGTTTAATGACGGCTATTAGGGGCAGATAATTTAGTTTGAAACGATTTTAAAGTTAGAGGAGGTAACTATGAGGAGGCTGCTTTCATGGGGGGGAGGGGGGGGTATAGGGTAGGGGTTGGGGGTAAGGGGGGGGGGGTATAGGGTAGGGGTTGGGGGAAAGGGGGGGGGTAGTGTTTTAAAGCAAATATTTTCAGTGGCAGCATTGGTTACTGTCGAATTCACAAATTATGAATTACTGAAAAGTAGAAAATAAAACAACTAAATACGCCACGGGTTGTCTCGTAAATTATATTTCATTGGGGGGGGGGAAGGGGGGTAGACGTTCTTCAGGGGGGGGGGGGGCACGACCCTGAAGAGATGCCTTTAAGAAACTCTGGCCCCCGAACTGATATTTGATAGTTAATGCGGCCCTCGGGCTGAAAAGTTTGGAGACCCCTGTTCTAATTTAAAAGCCCAATAGAGCTATACAGTTTACTGTTTATTATTTATTTCTATTTGTGAATAGAATTACAGATAGATTTGTTGTTAGATTAATTAAAGTTGGATTCCTTTATTATGAAGAACAGTTTAGATGAGTACGATACTAAGTTTAGATGGATATTGAGTAAATGATTAAAAATAGACTGGGTTAATCATACTGTGTGCCGTAATTATTTTGAGTGGATGGGTGTCTGACATCAATATTGAGTTTTTATCTGATTATTTTTAAAATGTGATCATTTCTAAATTGAAAAATTCATCAATTATTATTGGGAAATGATTATTTGGATCTTTTCCAGATAAGTCCGACCAAAAAGTTAACCCCCACCACGCAAAAAAGATTATAAAACTTAAATTAAACTTCTACTTTTAGTTTTTAACCCTAACCCAACCATAACCCTAACCTTCAAGCCCAAAAAAGAGTTGTTTTTATGGCACGTGTTTGAATATTCAAATGTCTAAACATCAGAATTGTGCCAAGGGGGGCATGCATGCATTAAATTGGAGCTGACATAAAGTAGTGGGGGCTTAACTTTTCGCCACTGCATTTTTTGCAGGAGTAAAACAATCTATACATGGCAGAAAACAGATTGGTACAGCAAAATGCATAATCGATCTTCGCCGTTCATAAACTTTCTTACCAGACATCGTTCGGGGATTTTGTTTATACTAATAAATAGAGAGACGTTTTTACAAGCTTCGTTAGCAACATTTTTGCGGAATTCGTTTTTTTATGACATTTTGTTCCTTGGCGAAGGATGCGAAGTATGCAAATCTAGGTGGAATGGATCTACTTGGAAAGTATGTAGGCCTATAAAGACCTACTTTCTTTTGGCTATAGCTTTAAAGAAATTTTTAATTTGTTATCTAAGCAAGAAAAAACCAAAAACAACTATTTAGGCTATTAGGTATAGAGTCCTTTCATATGACGTCACGTCTGTTCCTGATACCTACGTCCGCGCCACGGTGGTGTACACCAGACATAAACACAATCAGCTGTTCACCAGCACTGGATGCGTTCACTGTATGTAAAGAACCGCACCCGCGAAAAAGGAAAAATACGTTAAAAAACTTGAACTCTTAGGAATTGAAGATCCTTATACTGTTATTGACAGTTTCGTAGATAATATAAATATGTGGCCAAAATTTCTAAATAAAAATACTGTTAGTAATCCTGTTTGCGTTTAGAGTTTAAGTAGACGAATCTGATCAAATGCAGTTCTCGATACTTTGTTTCAGGTAAGGACAGTAAAATAATAAACTTCATTTTAATTATAAAGATAACTATTAATAAAACAAATATGCTCGACATTCACAAATACTAATAGTAAAAGACAAAGTCAAAAGTAATAATAAGAATAATAAGATCTAATAGTAGGCCTAATAATAGTGTTTTAATATCCAGATCTAGAATCTAGCTCTAAACATGGCGTAAACAAAATTCGGACCACAGATCTAGATTCTGGATTTAGGGTGACTGGCTCCGCTGGGTAGACATAGAATCTAGAATCTACTTCTTTACTTAAATTTAATTACAAAATTTAGATCTACATTCGATTCAAAATACACCCATAATAAATCAAAAGTAGTCATAGTAGGCCTAATAAAGCATTAAATTGTCTCTAAGATCTAAAATCTCGCTCTACAATCTAATCATTTTTTTTAGCAAACGAAATTTTCTGAAATTGAAATAGATTGTATGACTAAACTTAGATCTAGAATCTGCTACTTAAATTAAATTTTAAATTTTTTATACAAGCATGTATGATATTATTGTAGTAGAAGGCTTTAATAAATTACTAAGGCCTACCTACTTTGTGTCTTTTTACAGCAATATGTATCTGATACTGGACTGAGTTTAATTAAATTAAAATGCATTATATCTAGTAATTACTAATTAGTCTACTAAGTTTATGTAGCCTAGTAGTAGAATCTAGATCATACCAGCCAACAACAAATAACCACAGCCGGTTGGGAATAGCCGTATTGGGGCTATTCCCAGCCGACTGTGAATAGCCCCAATACAATAATACTATAATAGTAGGCCTATCTAATATCTATGGGCTATTTTTATAATGGAAAAACGCAGGCCCAGCACCGATGGTTGGCACTAGGCCCCAGGCCCCGCATATTCCTAACGTGGACTATGCAATCTAGTTAGTAACTGTGACCTAACACACAATGTTACATAGACCTAGATCTAATCTAGATCTAAATCTAGTAATTTTTGGAAAAGTTTAATCCGACTTTAATCCGACACTTTACTTTGACAATCATTTGAATCATCCCATGCATGATCTAGATTCTATTTCTAATCTGTCAGGCCCTAAAGGCCTAACCTAATGTAACTATTAATTTATTAAAACTAGATTAGATCTAGATTTTCTAGATCAAATTGAAAATATTAAAAATAGGCCTAATGTTCTTACTAACTTCTTACCCAAGATGGCAGATCTTCAACCCTGGCTAAAATGACAGATTTTTCATCGGTTGCTAATTGTTGTGAAATACATATTCTATGCTCGTTGGACTTGTTTTGTCTCTCCTTCCAAACATAAAATACTAATAAGAGCCAAAGCCAGCTGACCGAGAACTTAAAGTAACCTACGAGCCAAACGGCAGATACTACTCCAGCTAGTTTAAAATATTTCTGCACAACTTTCATCAAAAGTGTATCTTCCACAACTGTCTTCCTTGGTTCTTTATGTTTGCTGCTGTTTTTCTTCGGCATTTTAAATTTTCTAGGGACGATATCTAGATCTAGAGATAGATCTATGCTTTAACTTTAACACACACAAAATTAAAGTCTCAATCTAAGGCTAAGGTAATGATAGACCAGTAACCCTAGAATCTAGACCTTGGAAAAATCACGATATAGAAATCTAGCGTCGGTTATTATTCCGGAATTGTACAGCAGTAAAAAAAAAAAAAAGTAAAACCATGTCGTAGTCTGTCGAGACGTTCCGGGAACCACCGGAAATACTGTAAGCAATCCTTTATTTGCCGCCATATTATTTTTAATACATAATGTTAAAAATTGTACATAGATTGATTTTAGTTGCATTTTAAATACTGTTTTGCAATTATTCTCAAAAACTCCGCGCGTTGCCGCTAATTGTAAACAATGCATGAGCTTGTATCATAATAAGCTGCATCCCGTGCTCCGCCACGGTAAATATTTTTTAAATGTACCAACTTGGGAACAGAACAAAACTAAACACAACATAAACGAACGCAAAAAAACAAACAAACGGAAAAAAAAACATAACACTCATAACATAAACACAATTTAAATGTAATCATAAAGGCATATTGCTCACAGTCTAGCCCGTAGCGCCAAATCGCGCCCTTTCCGAGCGCCGCCGAACGCGTCTGACACAGTGAATGACTACAAAACAGAGGCGTAGCGACCCTTTCCGGCGCCCGGGGAAAAACTTTCGATTTGACTCCCCAAACCCCCTCAAACTTACGATTTGCACGCCCTCTCCTCAAAATTCCAATTTCCACCCCACCCCCTTAAACTTTCGATTTTCACCCCCCCCCCCCCCCCCCCCCCGTTCAGACCTTCGATTTGCACCACTTTTGTTTGAAATTCCCCCCGCTCAAACTGTTGATTTGCACCCCCCTCAAACCTTCGATTTGCACCCTCCCACCGCCCTCAAACTTTCGATTTCCACCCCCCCCCCCGCAATTTTTTTCCAACCCACTTTGGCGCCCCCTTAGGTCGGCAACCGGGGACATATGTTCCCCCCCCCCCCCCTCTCTACGCCTCTCCTATAAAACCCCCAGCAGTATTTAAAATATCCGTGTTTTACCTACCATATTATATCACTTTATCAATTCACGCATTTTTTTCCCCAGTACTTTAAATTTTAAAAATTTACAATAGAGTTTCATAACTAAAACCATTGCGCACCCAATGAACGTGATGACGCGTCTATAATAGTGCTTAATAGTTGATTAAAAATTATAAGTAGTAAACATTACATTCAGTGAATAAAATAAATAAAAGACAGCCTTTTATCAATCAATGCTAATTATAATATTCCAACAATAATGTACTCTTACACGTCTGCATAATTTGCATTCACATTTTGCTAATTATATTATTCCAACAATTATTCCGTCTTGCAGATTCTGCATTCACATTTTTAGCGTGAGTTCAATTTATTTTTAAAATACCTCCCTTGGCAAAATTACTAAACAGTTTAATTAGATTTTTCTAACCTACAGTTATTATGTTATTAAAATGTATCCACTTTTTTCTAGGAATATTAACGAAAACGATATTTGACATTGATCCTTTTAATATATTTTAGCAATGTGCGTGTATTTAATATTCTCTTTACGTTATGCAAAATTGTACAAACAGTGGAAATTATAAAATAGCTCTATGTCGTTATATAAACAAACTCAACTCTTTTACTTATAATAAGACACTGCGGTGCACTGAAAAGCACAGCATGGTGCGATGTTTACTTTTATAGTTCCAAAATCTATAGCGATGACGGAAGGAAGGACTGACACACGCTCAGCCCGCTTATATTATAGATTAATATCGGGACACAGGTTTACCTGCACTACCGCATGAAAACCTTGAGGGGGTCGTCCATAAATGACGTCACGCTTTTTGACGATTTTTACCTCCCCCCCCCCTCCCATCAGTCACACGTCGTCACAAAAAGCCAGACCCCCCCTTAAAATGACGTAACACCTCAGCCTACAACCCCCCCCCCCCCTCAAAATTGCTGTTGAATTTTTCTTAAAACATTGATATTTTTCCAAAATCTAGTCAGAACTCTGTCAACATAGTGTATTGTGCACAATTGCTATTACAATTTATTAAAAACCGTTTTCTAAAACGCGAAATAACGGCTATATATAACTCGTTTTCTAACATTGCTTTTTTATAATACAAAAACGTGACGTCACACCATCTGAAACCCCCCCCCCACCTCCCCCTAATCACACACCGTCACAAAATTACGGACCCCCCTCCCCCCTACGAGTGTGACGTCATTTATGGACGACCCCTGAGTGCAGTGTTTCTTCCAGACTCCCCCCCCCCCCCAAGAGATGCCTGGTAGAAACGTTAATCACTTAGCGATATAATGAGGTAGAACACACTTCGGTGACCACCCATGTGTCAAGGATGTAAAGGGGCGCTCTCGGGAGCCCCCACACTCAGACATTGCTTTTTAGATAGATGATAGATAGATAGATAGATAGATAGATAGATGGATGGATGGATGGATGGATGGATGGATGGATGGATGGATGGATGGATGGATGGATGGATGGATGGATGGATGGATGGATGGAGGATGGATGGATGGATGGATGGATGGATGGATGGATGGATGGATGGATGGATGGATGGATGGATGGATGGATGGATGGATGGATGGAAAAATTATAATAAATTCAGTTTCGCGATTAAGTTTTATAATTTCAGTACAATACAGTACAATATATACTTTAATTGATAACTAAATATATATTTAAACGAATGCTATAATTTGTAATTTTTGTTTTGTTTTTTCTTTAAAATAGTATACATTTTTTTTAAAATATTACTTTAACTAAGTTACCTCCCCTGTACAAAGTCCGGGAAAATTCGGTAAATGGGTCAAAACTGACCAGTCTTATTTCCCAATATAATCTTTGTATTTTATGGGAAAAACAGAGGGTGATTTCAAAACGGATTTTAGGGCACTTACCGTCTTTACATCTGGCTAATCTTTTGCATACTCTTAGGTAAATGGCTTGACCTTTAGGGAAAGCTGTCGGTTTCACTCAAAGCCCTCGACGAGGGCTAAAATGTGACCGTGAGTGAAATTCTCTTTATATGAGCTCTATTACAAAAAAAAATTTCCGACGACGACCCCCCCCCCCCCCTTGAAATTTTGTGAGGTGGTAGGAGAACGCCTTGGGGTGTCACAAAAAACTCGCCATGTCCGGGAAAAATCGGGAAATGGGTCAAAACTGACCAGTCTTATTTCCCTATATAATATTTGTATTTTATGGGAAAAACAAAGGGTAATTTCAACAAAGATTTCAGGGTACTTACTCTTTGTATATCTGGCTAATTTTTTGTACACACCTCTATAGATGACTAGGCCGTATGGAAAAACTGTTGGTCAGACTCAAAGCCCACGAAGAGGGCTAAAAATGACCGCGAGTTACATTCTCACTATACGAGATTTGATAATTTGGTCTATTAACAGGGGAGGTAACTTTTTAATATAATAATTTTTAAATATTTTGTATACTCTTTTGAAGGAAAAAATAAAAATCATAAAGTATAGCAGTGTTTTATATAAATTTTTAGCGCAATTTCCATTCTGGAGAATTGCGTTTATTAACTCGTCATTTCTGGATGTATGAATGTCTGAATGAATGGATGTGTGTCCGCAGCTTTAAGTCGTATCTCCTCCTCAGCGAAGCAATATCTATGACTAGTTCCAAAGCAATTATGTTAAGCAAGTTACGAGGATGAACATAGGCCAAAAAAATTCCGGGTTTCTTTCATGGATTTCCCGGAAAAGCCAAAAAACCTCGAAAAAATGCAGTTTTTTGCCCATATCTCGGCAACCAGACCACTTAGCGACTTGAAACATGTACCAATCGATTCCTGCCATAATTTAGAACAATATTGCCGAAGAAAGTTTTCAAAAATATCCTTTCGTTCGGTCACAAAAATTTTTTTGAATTAATTAAAATTTGGATCGAATTAGTAGGCATGTTTATCCAACCACACCACACGCGTCATCACGTTCAATAGCTGCGCCATCACGTTCAATTGCTGCGTCATCACGTTCAGTAGCTAGGCGCAATGGTTTTTTTCCCACGTTTTCTTTAACTTGCTTTCTCTGTTTGTGTGTTTGTCTTTCCAATCAAATCTTGCGATCGAAATTTCTGGCACTTCCCAGTTAGCTAGCGCGCTGAAATTTTCAGGGAAGCTTTCTTTTGGATGACCATTGAATATTCAATTGTTATTATTACTAAATTGATCAATGGAAACATTTTATTGAGCATTTTAGACCGCTATATAATCTATATATATAATTCTCCTCTGCTAGCCATTAGAAAAAAAACCAGCGACGCGTACCTCGCGCGCAGTGAAGCGAACGATCACATGTCGCCACAGGCTTAGGGGCAGAGAATTTAGCTTGAACCGAGTTTAAACTTACAGGAGGTAGGCCAGTTTGGGGGAGACGATATGGTCGAGTGGTTGGGCACACGATTGCTATCCCACTCGACGCGGGTTCAAATCTATGTGTTCTAGTCAGTAACGTATTCAAACAACGTGTTTTTTACGAGTTGTCTTTTTACGAGTTGTCTTTTTACGAGTTGTCTTTTTACGAGTTGTCTTTTTACGAGTTGTCTTTTTACGAGTTGTCTTTTTACGAGTTGTCTTCGTTTACCCAAAAAAAGTGAAAAGATAAAATCGATAGCAAGATTTTAATGCAAACAAACAGACAAAGACTAAAAAGTAGAAAATAATAATCATTAAAAAAGTTTTAAAAAACCCACGTTTTCTGATTGAACTAAAAAGTAGAAAATAAATGCTATAGGCCCTACATCACAATAATGCAAGCGATCACTCTACTATAAGCGAGCAAAAACGTGGGGCGCCGTGATTTTCTTACAGTTTCTAATACTGTTGACTCTCTACAAGCTCCCTAATAAAAGTCAATAGTATTATCTAATCAATAGTAATATAACTTTTACTTCGGCGCCCCACGTTTTTGATCGCTTATAGTAGAGTGATCGCTTGCATTATTGTGATGTAGGGCCTATAGCATTTATTTTCTACTTTTTAGTTCAATCAGAAAACGTGGGTTTTTTAAAACTTTTTTAATGATTATTATTAGTCATGTAACTCTATTGTAAATAAAACATGTATTTT